TAGAATAGAATAGAATAGAATAGAATAGAATAGAATAGAATAGAATAGAATAGAATACCTGAATTTCACAGAATCTTAGCTAGGGGCTCTCCCAAACCCCTGCGAACCCCCAGCAGCCCCCCCCCAGGTTAGGGTTAAAGGGGATAAACAATGGAAGATTATAATTCAATATAAGTCTGTGTATTATTATTAGAACTAGATAAGTTTGTTTAACACAACAAATATGATTGTTAATATTTTATTCATAGTAAGAGGAATGGCATTTAGAATATGGAGATTGGCATAAAGATAACATACTGAAAATATTGAATAATCAAAGAAAGAAAGATTATAACTTAACAAAATATGCGTGTTAATATCAAAATCTTATAAGATTGTCAACTTTATTAAAAATGAAGAATATTGTTATATTTGTATTAAGATGTAAGACACTCCACTGCCACACTGTTCACACAACGATATGTCTGTACAAATAAGAAAAACAAAACATTTATTAAAAAAAACCCCATCATATAATATTGATTGGTTATCTGGATTACAGCCCTCTAAAACTGTCACACTTGTTATGCAATGTAGCTCAGTGTCATGTCATCTATCACTCACCCCAGGTATTGTTTCTCTTATTCTTCTTTTATTTTTCTTATATGTATCCATTTCATGTATTCACAACTATGTATACACTTATACTTATTATCTTGTAAACAATTGGCAAATCAAATAAATAAATAAATAAATAAATAAATAAATATGTCTTAGATAGGTGGTTTTGGGTTTTTGTCAGAGTATATTCATGAACTGGAATAGAGCTTGGTAACAAGGTCAGCCAATGAATAGGCATAGCAACTAAATCAGCCAATGAGGACTGTTTGGAAACTGAAATTAGAAGTAGCCTAGGCGTGGCTCTATATTAAGCTCTGCAGCTCTGGAGCTGTGTTGAGCTCTGAGTCTGTCTATTGAAGATGAAACTAACCTGCTTGCTTGCTTGCCTGCTGAAGTTACTTGCAAAATGTTTCTGTCTGAGTTTGCTCCATGTTGGAGAAATCTACAATTAGTTTGTAAAATCTACTTATTATGTTTATAAAGATGTTAAATGAAGCATCAGACATCTGTGTTTATTTTTCTGGCGCTGAATTAACGCTGCAAAACTCTGAATAGTTATTTTTTTTAAAGCAAGCTCTTCTTATTTGGCTTAATAGTTTGACAGGTAAGTTGCTTGCTTCTGCCTCACTATGACTGTGCAGCCTGCCCCCCCATTCCCCCGCCCCCCCTCTACCCTGCCCCCCCAGGGGTGGATTCAACCGGTGTAACAACCAGTTTGGTGAGTGTGTGCGTGCACTGTTTAAAAAACACCCAATTTCATCTCTAAAACTTACCTTCTGCTGTAGCCGCGGTGAGTGAAACAGTGGAGGTGTGGCAATCCGTTGTGCCGTGTAAATCAGCTGGACTGCAAAACACGGAAATATAGGACAGACTAGGACCGGGACGGGTGGACGGGGCCAACTAATCGCTGGAACTACCGGTTCGCTTGAATGGGTCTGAACCATCTGAATCCCCAATTATAACTTCAAAAAAGGCAACTATGATCTTATAGACAACGATCTCTCATCCCTTGATTGGCTATCTCTATTCACTGGATCCAATACTGTTGAAGACCATTACAACATATTTTTAATTGAAGTCAGAAGAGTCATCAAACTATATGTACCAACAACTCCCCCCCCCAAAAAAAATAGATTACCCATAACATTAAGGAAACTTCAATCCAAAAAGAGATCACTCTGGTGGAAAAACAAATCTGGTCACGTTGCCAAGTTCAAAAGCCGATATAAAAATTTATGCCACCAGATAAGGACTGAATGCACCAATTATCACATTAAACAAGAGGAAAACCTTCTAAGCACCAATTCCACCCGTGCTTTTTACAATTTTGTAAACAACAAACTAAAAGACTCAAGGTCCATCCCACCCCTGATAGGACCTAATACTAAAGACTGCAACGACAACACCATTAAAGCCAACCTCTTTAACACATTCTTTGGCTCAGTATTTGTAAACAGCAATGGATCATGCCCAGTATTTCCTAGCCGAACCACAGACAACTACAATGATCTAATACATACTGATTTTACAGAAGACAATGTTGAAAAAGCACTATGCAATCTAAAACCATCTCTATCTATTGGACCGGATGGAATATGTGTCTACTTCTTCAAAAAGCTATCCACTGCCATAGCCGAACCTCTAAGCATAATCTTTGAAAAATCTTTCAGGACCAGCTCCTTGCCTAACCTATGGTCACAAGCCACGGTCATCCCCATCTTCAAAAAGGGAGACCCCAGCCTAGTTGAAAATTACAGGCCAATCTCCTTATGCTGCGTCACCTGTAAAGTCATGGAATCAATTATTAAACAATCCATTATCCTCCACTTAGAGACAAACAACCTACTCTCCAATAAACAATTTGGTTTTAGGAAAAAAATATCCTGTAATCTGCAACTCTTACACTGCAAAAACATATGGACTACACAACTCGATCAGGGCAAAGCAATAGACGCAATCTACATAGATTTCTGTAAAGCCTTTGATTCAGTGGTACATGACAAACTACTCCTAAAACTAAAATCTTATGGTATCTCTGGACCACTGCATAACTGGACAGAAGCATTCCTGTCAAACAGACAACAAATGGTCAAAATTGGGAGCGTCCTATCAAATTCTGTACCTGTCAACAGTGGTGTCCCCCGAGGCAGTGTTCCAGGACCAACTCTTTTCATACTCTACATAA